ACAGATTTGTTAAACAGGATCTACCTCTCCTAAATCCATGCTGGCTATCCCTCAAAATGTTATTTGAGTACTTGTATCTCTACAATTGCTGTATTTCAGAAAAGGGGTACCTATCAAACTGTAAAAAAAATTATCAGCATCAATTTCTAAGCATCAGAGCTCACCAAGTTAATAGGTATATGTTATGGCGGGCCATGCATGGTGAATGGAAGATCCAAAGTGTGGCTTACAAACACAAAGGCAACTTTATTTCAAACTGAACTCAGAAAGAGAGGAAACAAAAGGGACCACAAAGGGTCTAAACCAGGGGGGTGAAACTCCAGTCCTCAAAAACTGGAGCCATGTGCAGCTCAGTTCTTTCCCTGTTCCACCACAAACGATTCAGCTCAAGAGCTGTGTGATAATTAGCACAAGGAGTTGCAAGGAGATGAATCAAGTGTGTTAAATGAGGGGAAGCCCAAAAATGTGCAGGGCTCCGGCCCTCCAGGACTAGAGTTGGACACCCCTGGTCTAAACCCAGGCAGGTAGGCAAAATGAGAACCTAATCAAGGCTAGACTAAATATGAGCGAACCACTAACACCAAAAACATTTAGAGGACCACCTTCAAGGAAATCCAATGATCACCTGAAGCACAGTGGAATGGCAGGCATACTGTATAAATACCCCGATAATGAGGGCTTCAACAAGGGACAGGTGCAGGCTAATACTAATCAACCAAGCACAAAGAGCTATGAGTGACAGGCAACAGGTGAGACGACGGACACAAACAGGACAACACGGGGACCGATTCTGACAGTATATAATTTAAGGCTTGGGAAACAGGGCGATATTTTGATTGAAATTAGCAACCAATGGAAAAGCCTTTAGGACAACAGTGCTATGAAAATTTTTATATGCAGCATTAAAATAATGTAATAGTAATGAATAATACTGCATATGATCAAGATTATACTGGGGGGTGGTCAGTGTGGAGTTTGATTCTGCCAGTCATACATATTCATGATGTCACTGTCGGATGAAGCCCGCATATATCCACTTTTTGATGATTGTGATTTTTTTTACTATGGATGGTCTGCTCTGTCTACTGATAGTGTTTGACATTTACTTAACCAATGAAAGTGTGATATATTAAATTACCTGTATAACTAGTATTCATGTTTTTACTAGTTAATTAATTTCATGATGGTCACTTGTATTGATTACATCACAACTGTTCATTGATGTCTCTGTAAAGATAGATTTCTGTTTCTGGTGCTAATGGTGTCTCATCACGTTTGTTTAGGTTTACTCTGAAATAATGTATTTCTGGAGATGAGTGCTTTTCACTTGACTTCATTGATTTGTTTTCTGTGTCTCAGGAAAACCGGACCCTTGCTCATCCAGCCCCTGTCTAAATGGGGGCACCTGTTTTCACTACATTGGAAAGTATAAGTGTGAATGTCCTAATGGCTATGGTGGAAGGCACTGTGAAGTAAGCAGAGGTGCAGCCCAAACACTGACAAGTAGGTAATCTCTGTCTCTGAGTTCTATTACTATGAATATCCCAATTTCCTCAAAATTCTAAGCTGATTCTTGTGTTCAAAAATCCAGTACATTTATATATTATTGTTATGTAATATCATATAAATTTATAAATGTTAGCTATTTAATGCATTTGGTGGCACAAAATAATACCAAACACACATACACACACACACACAATCCATTTAATCACAATAATAGGCTGTGATTAATCATAATTAATCATAAGTTTAAAATGGTAGTAGGCTATTTGCTTGCATTTTTGGAAGATGAAACAAATACATGTGTGGTCTTGGAACAAAGAAATGCATGAGAAACTGGTAGGAGGAATCACATTTTTTTTAATATAACATCTCGGTTTTGAGAGTCGATAGTTAAAATGTTATTTTCTGCAAATACAATTCATATTATTTTAAGCTATTTTACAAAATGTATTCTGAGAAACATAATAAGTACAATTAAATGATTGCTTTGTAGTGTTATACTTGCAAAAAAGTCCCATAAATGTAGTGAAAAATGCTAAAAGAACAACCTGTAGTTACCATCAGTTTGCATATTTTTTTATTTTTAGTTAAAGAATTAAAAACTTTAAAGTTTTTACATTAGTGATCAAAAGTATAAAGCAAGTGACATTTTGTAATTTACAAAGTAACTGCTTATCCGAATTCACAGTTATCCTTGAATTGGAGATGTATTTTTGTCATATTTCCTCAATGAAAAATCTCTCACATCACAAAATAAAAGGTCGAAGCTCCTCGGTCAGTGTAAACAGAACCCAGACATGTGGTTTTGTTTATAAGAGTTTTCATGTGTTTTTTTGACCCAATAATGATTATCATATGTTTCATACGAATAGGGCTATTCGCAAATGGGTGGGCAATCAATGCTGATTCATGACTTTTTTTTTTGACAGTTGGCAAGTTTTATCCCGCAGGCAGGATCGCGGACTCCAGAGGATTCATTTGCATTAAAAACAAAATAGCACATTAAGGTCTTGTGATAATGGTAGTGCGGACGCTGATCTTTTCTTTTGGACACTCCCGTAAAATAATTTTAATGTATTAGTATGGACAAAGCTTAAATGTGTGATGTAAAGCATAATGAAAACAGGTACTTTCACACAGTTAAGATTACTTAACTAAGATTCCTGTGGTAGGAATGCAACAGAAAAGGTTGTTGTTCCTGAAAAAGGTTCTTGATGTGGTAAAGTGTCTATTATGTGCACTGCAAAAGCTTGTCTGTCTGTAAATTTGCAGAAAAGGATTCTATTTTTAAGTTGCAGTGCATACACTTCTACAGAGCAGTTTAAAAAGTAATAGTGAAAATTCCATGTTCTCCACAAATGAGAATGGCATATGTGAATGTCTGTTCTGCTTCGTCCTACATGGGGTTCCACACAACTGTAGAATGTAAGCCAGGGTGCACTGAAGTTGTGGCAGCTCTACCCCATATTTAATATGCTGTGTTTTTTAAAGTAAATAAAGGTGCACATAGAAAATCATATTCCTGCTGGAACTTCCTGGAGTGTTCTAGCTAAATTTTTATTACAGCACCCATACATTTGTTCCAGGGCTGGACTGTGGGCCACCTGCTCACGTGAAGAATGCAGATGTACAGTTCACCTCCAGCACGCCTGGCTCCATAGCACTCTACACCTGCCACCGAGGATACATGCCCCAACCGCAGGCTACACAGAGTATATGTGGGAGCCAGGGAGCCTGGAGCCAGCCCCCTGTCTGCGAGGGTAAGGCTAAAATGCTCACTGATTTGCTGTCCTCCTGGGAGCTCTTCAGATAGAAGCCAAAGCACTGGGCGAGCAGTAAACCACTGCGGAGTCACTGGGAGTAAAGCATTACAAGTGCAGAGATTTATGCTAAAGAGACTCAATAGGAAACAAAACAATGCAGTGAAACATCACAGTACACCGCAAAGTGTAAACAAAATGGCTTTTCAATATGTATTTTTGAGACCGTCGCATGAAAAGTGGTGTGACTTACAGGTCATTTTCTGTTTGTCGTATTTCCCAGAGATCAATGAGTGTCTGTCCCAGCCCTGTCTCAATGGGGGCACCTGCCAAGACCGGATGGCATCCTACCTCTGTCATTGTGCCAATGGCTTCAATGGGCTACGCTGCCAGACAGGTATGAAAGGTTCCAGAGCTATGCAGCTGCATTTCTTATCTGTATCACTGAGTTCACATTGTTTGCTGTGCCTGGGTGTGTATATATCTGACATTGTTGTATAGTTTATGTGTTTGCATATACCTTTAGATGAAAATGAATGCCTGTCGAAACCCTGCAAACATGGCGGCATCTGTGTGGATCAGCCTGGCTCATACTACTGCCACTGCCCACAGGGCTTTGCTGGCCGGGACTGTGACACAGGTATGCTGACACCAGCACTACCTACAATCATGTGAAAAAATTTGTACAATCCAGTAAATATTTAGTTCTTTATTAAAAAATATCAACATATCAGTATTAAATTTTCTTTCAAATTATATCTGTAGATAAAGTTGATGTAATTGCATCATCTATGCAAAAACAATAAACTAATTCAGTTATTTACGAAAAGAAATTAACTAAGATGTTAAATTCAGGGTTCTTACACCTTTTCCAACTTCAAATTCCAGCACTTTTCAAGCACTTTCAAGGTGCATTTTTATGCTTTTCCAGCACCTAACAACCGCGGTAAATTACGTTTATATATGCTGTATGTACTTTTTCACATTTAAATCCATTGTGCTATTAAAAAAAACACAATATGACATTTCAACTTAAATTGTTGAATACTTTCGCGTGAATTACACGATCAATAACAAATTGGCAAGGAAGTGCCCTTTAGACTGTTATCGTGCATTCCATTTGCCCTAGGAACTCGGATTCTGAGTCGGATTCCGAGTTTCGAAGCCGGAAGTGATGACATGCGCGCTCCCATTTCTCGGAGATCCGAGAAATATCTCGATCGGATAACGCAGAGGATCCCGAGTTCAGAATCGAAGATGGCTGCGCCCTTTATCAACAGAAGGGAAAGTTGT